TTTGGGTATTGGAGTTCCTTGCAATTCTTTCTTCTGACTACTTTCATTGTATTCTTATATTTTATCTTCAATTATTTCTAATTACAATTTTCTTCTAGATATTCTATTAGTATGGGAAATTTTATTTTGTTGAACTTTTATATTTGTTGTTTATTTTGTTGATTAAAACCACAAAGGACAGATAAATTTTTTATTCCCTAACGAATATTTTTGTCATCATCAAGGACAACATGTATTAATTAATAGAGGATGAGGATAAAAATACTAAAAGAGAAAATTGGATATGTAAGTGTAAATATGAGCAAAAGTTGAGGACTTTTATTGATATTTTATTGTAATTAACAAAAAGTGTACTACAGTACTAATATAACTAGTCCCTAGTCAATCATGGATAGCTACGTATATTTTTAAGGTTTTAGATTAAAATATTAAGGCCTGTTTGTTAGGGTTTTTTTTCCATGGAAAATGAAAGTTTTCCATTTTCACCCAATTTCTCCTTTGATTCCCAAAATTTTCCAGGTAATTCATTTTCTACTTCTCCATTGCGTGGCCTCATTTTCTTGATTTTGAAGGAATTCCAATTCCTTGGGTTTTGGTGAGAAAATTGGATTTTCATCTTTAAATTTTTTAATTTTATTATTATTATTTTTTTTGGTAATGGAAACAAATTCTATCTATAATTATAAAAAATCTATCCATTTAATTGACAATTTTCATGAAAAATAAAGTCAAACGAATACCAAATGATTCAAAATTTCAACATTTTTCAAATAAAAATTATATCAATCAAACACATTTAATTGATATTTCCCAGTAAAACAAGTTCTAAGCAATTTAATTCCCTGAAATTCGTTTTCTTTCCACCCAAATTCCATTATTGCAATCAAACGGACCCTAACATAAGTTTACTTAATTCCAAGTTTAAGATAATTTTAAATAATGCACCCGCAACTAGCATCCACTTGAGAAGTCTAAGACTCTAATGGAATAAAATATAAATTGTGCTAAGGTACAACAATTTTGATAGCCCTTCACATGTGAGGTCGGAGCACAATATTAAATAATCATGAACCCCACGTTTGTGAGGTTGTTGCCAAACTATCTGTTTACACTTAAGTCTAAAATAGTATAACTATAGACAAATGGAAGACACACAGGGTGGTAATAAGGATTTATTGAGAATATATGGAGTTTATATTCTATGTATAGTATAATAAAGAATACACTTGGTCAATATTTGCTATGCTCAACTAGACATTACAAGATCAAATAAAAGAAAAAGAAAGCCTTTCATGAGGTGGTCGAGTTGATGGAGTAGGTGAGCGTGGAAGCCTTCGGTCACAAGTTCGATTCTCCCTACCAACACTTTTTCATTCGAATCTGTCACAACGAGCTTGCCTAGTGCGGTTTACTTGGCCGGCGTGGTTTGCAGGCTATTGCGTCGACCCGAAAATTTATCCAGTGCGCACCTAAAGGGTAGTGCTGCGGGTTCCTTCATCATTAAAAAAAAATAAAACAAAATAAAATTTTAGATAATTTTTGTCCTAGATTGCCTGACAATATGTCTCAAATATGTCCACGTCGATCCAATAAATAAGAGTGGATGGCATCACACTGTTGTGCGAATGGCCAATTTAACTTTTTTTTTTTATATTTTAAAATATGATTTGAATCGAAAAAGATCAAAATAAAATAAATTAATTGGGTCTTGTTCCTCGTTTCCCCTGCATTTACCATTTGGAGTGAGAAATTGCGAAACTAATCGGAGATTCGGAGGAGGAGAATTTACTGTATAGATAGTTCCGTTTCCATATATATATATATATATATATATATACATACATATATATATACATACACACGCAGACAATTAGTAGATTTTGAAAAAATTTTAATGTATGAATTTGTTGCCATAATTTACCAAAGTATTTAAAATGCGGACCGAATTAATTGACTTGGTAGCCGTATAGTTTGGTATAAACTATTAAATTTGACATGTACCGGACGTCACTTTCAATTAATTTCATAAATGTCCTTCCATTACCCCCAAATTACCAGATAATGACCAAATTCATTAATTCATTTATAAAATAAATTATAATCACTTCAATGAAATTAAAGTACCTGCAAATTTTGTTTGGTTCAATAATGTTGGAATGAAAATGACAAATCATTCATTTAGTATAATATTAATTCGAATCACGAAATTGGAAAAGCTCTCTTAATTTGAAAAATAAGAAAATCCTATGACAAATTATCTTTTTATCAATTTGAAACATGAAAATATCTCTTTTGAATAGTAAAATCCTATTATTAGACAAAAAAATTAAAATAATGTTAGCAAAGTAATTTAAACGTAAACTAATAAAATAAGCAACAATAATTTAATTAAATAAGTTGGGTAACGTTTGTATGATATTGAATATTACAATTAGATAATATCCTTTTTTAAGTTAAGTTAAAACGTGCTCAAAATTTATACAACCGTGCTACACAAATAGGTTTAATGAAATAAATTTTTTTTTCCAGATTACAAATGGCGATTTTCCATTAAAAGTTGAAAAAATAAATGAAAAAACACCCAATTACGAACCTGTCAAATTGGCCCTATAACTGCACCATGGTAGTTTCCCCGTCCAAGGAGCTTTTTCCAAGGAAAAATGTTAAGTGTACAGATTTTGTTTCACAAATTTTTTACGGGCGGCATCTGTGTGGTTCGAATTTTTTATTTTTTATTTTTATCTTTCAACCAAATTTTGCGAAGTGACCTACGTGTATGAATTCTGTGTACCATATTCTATAAGTGCACCAACTTTCTTTTCCAAATGTATATGCAAATGGGTCAAACTTTTGGACAAGAATTTAAATATCAAACAATGACTATAATTTAGTATAGAGACAAGTCGAATTGGACTTTTCAATTACATTACTGCACTTGACTCGACAATGAAGTGAGGCCTGCGTCTGTTTCATGCAGATGCACCTTGCTAAAATTGTCAAAATTGGCATCTTTAAACTATAATTTGTTTACTTGGAAATGAATTGTGTGTTTCACATTGTATCAATCAATTATTTTTTTACATGGAAATTTGAATTGTTCTATAATATGCCACCGAATTTCTTTAAAATTCAACACTCTCAACTCTCAAGTAGGCAACATTGAAAAATTATTTAAAAAATCAAATACAGAATAGAACTTGCTTTACTCTGCTATAATACGGAAATTTTCGCTTTGCTCTTACATTCCATAATGGACAGAATGGTTGGAAACTTGGGATCGTAAAAGAATTCGAGTACCATTCTGATGGCCTCTTTTATGATCCATTTTCCTCCAAGACATTCGTACGTAGGATGCAAAATCAATGCGCAGTTAGAGTCCCATACAATGGATGGCATTTTTGTAGTTATCCCAAAATCATTGGTCGTTTACTTCACAAATTCTCGATTGGTCAAGCCAACCGTCAGGTCCACCTACCCCCAATCAGCAGCCCGCCATCACTTCAAATCCCTTTCAAGTTTTCTTTCTTTAGCGCTTCTTTGACGTTGATTTAGATTTTTTTCTACGTGCTCATTTTTAATTAAATATTCACGTAACAAAAAATTTTGTACATAAATTTAAAATTTTTCAGTATTTTTTAATCACAAATTTTCTTAAAAATTATTATTCAAAATATTTTTTGATCAAATAATAGCCATCAAACAGAAACTTAATAAAATCATAAAACTTCGACACCTACCTCATATATACATACACAATAAATACAAACGCCCTCACTATGTGGAAAAATGTGTATTGGAGATGGAAGGTGGTTTTATTAAGCTATATATAAAAATGTAATTTACGTTAAAACTTATATATGATCGTGACTTGTTTAAGAAAAAAATTTGTCGTGTGATAAAATTCGTATGAACTAGAGAAAGAAATTTTATTAAGTAACGCTACTCATGTGGTAACATATATATTTTGTGCTTGTTTGGTAGGGATTTTGATAATTAATTTTTTAACCATCAGAGAGAGAAAGTGGATCCTACTTGTAAAAGAAAAATTAAAAAATGACTATTGAAATAATGAAATAATTGTCAAAAAATTGATTTTTAAATCCTACCAAACAAGCTTTTATTTTAATATAATATTGACTTGTTTAATTGTAATTTTCATTCATTCTATCATTTAACATTACCTGAATTGATATTACAGCAATGATATTGGATAGCATTATTCATAATCAAATGCGAACCTCCCCAACCCGAACAGTCCAACAGCCACCCGCTGATGGTGAGTGGCCACAGCCCACCTTCTTTTAACGACAATTCCTATATAAATTCAATTTCCCTCTACTCTTCTCCTATATTAAAACTCCCAGGTTGTTTCTTTTTCTAATTACTTAAGGCGGAGAGTCCGATTCTTTTGGATTCAAGGGTTGGTACGTTTTGTTCAATTCTTGCAGTCCATTCTATCCTTGTTCAAATCTTCATTGAAGTTTCTGGGTTGCGTAATTTTGTATTCTTGGATCTGTTTTGTAGTTATTTTCGTATGATCTATTATTCCAGTCAGTGTCTGTTACTGGAGAAGGGTTTAATTTATCTGATCTCTGTTTTATATATTATTTTCCGATGTTCACGAGGAAACATGCCTTCATTTGTTGTTTACTGAAGCTATTTTGGGATTTAAATTCTCTTGGAGAACAGATCTCTGCTTTAACGCTCAAATAAAAGTTCTGAAAGAAAGTGTTCTGTTCGGGATTTTATTGCTTGCAATTTGTCAATTAAACAAAGATCTGCATATCGGAAAAAGTGAGATTTTTTACTTGGCATGCAGTAATGAGATTTTTTGATTGATCAGATTTCAAGGTTATTATTGTGGTAGCATTACAATTGATTTCAATGGAGTAATGATTTACTCCAGATTTCTTTTTGTCCATTGTTGAAATAATCGAGAATGAAATTATGTCCTGATCTTGAGAACTTACTTGTTAGGTGTAACTTGGTTTAAAATACTAATTCAAAGAGTTACTGATGTCCCTTATTGATAGAAATGGCCTGCAGTTTAACAGTGTACTGAAATTTTTTGTCAGATCACCAGATTTGTTGAGATGAGCTCATAAGTGAGTCTTTTAGGATTAGCTTGGATGATTGTGGGAAAATATCAGTTAATTGGGTTGTGCTCCTCCTGTGATTACTGATTATACACATGCCTGCAAATGTTATAATTAAATAGTTCTTGTTTACATGATTTCTTATTTACATATTTAGTTTATAATATTAGGAAACACTTTTTAATTTTTGTAAGAGTTTATGTGTGCTGATTTGAAGTTCTCATCCAGGTGCTTCTGCAGCTAAATATCATGGCAACTGGCCAACTTTTCTCGAAAACTACACAAGCATTATTTTACAATTACAAGCAACTGCCTATTCAGCGGATGCTTGATTTTGACTTCCTTTGTGGTAAGTATGAGAGTAACATCTCATGCTCTTATTTATATGATCCGGAAATGAGTTTGTTGTTTTAGTAGGATTTTCATTGTTGATCGGCATTTGTTCCTTGTTCTGCAGGGAGAGAAACACCTTCTGTTGCTGGAATTATAAATCCTGGTTCCGAGGGATTCCAGAAACTCTTTTTTGGTCAAGAGGAAATTGCAATTCCTGTTCACTCCACGTATGTTTTATTTTTTTCTACTAATTCATATTGCATTCAGTGTTTGATGCGACTTGAATGCAAAAGGACGCTTACCTTTCTTCCTTGTTGCAGTATTGAAGCTGCCTGTGCTGCACATCCTACAGCTGATGTTTTCATTAACTTTGCATCATTTAGAAGGTTTTTCTTGTCTTATTTACAAATATATCAATGCCGGTTTCTTGTGTCATCATAATAGCGATAATTACACTGTTCTTTCAGTGCTGCTGCTTCGTCCTTGTCCGCTCTTAAGCAGCCAACCATTAAAGTTGTGGCTATTATAGCTGAGGGTGTCCCAGAATCAGACACCAAGCAATTGATTGGGTATGCAAAGGCAAACAATAAGGTAATGTCAAAATGTATTTTTCATCTCTGATTGGAACAATGAGATGCATTTAAAACAAATATTTCTCTTGTACCCGAAGGTATATCTCTTTTCATTTGGGAGTGCTATTCAGAGCTGTGTCTGATTACATAGATGAATGTGTTTCAGGTTGTCATTGGCCCGGCTACAGTCGGTGGTATTCAAGCTGGAGCATTTAAGATTGGTGATACTGCTGGAACAATTGATAATATTATTCACTGCAAGTTGTACAGACCTGGATCTGTTGGCTTTGTGTCCAAATCTGTAAGTAATCATATAAAAGTTTTTTCTTTGATAGTTTTGTACGAAATACATAGTTTAATATGTATATAAGGTTTTCTTTTGCGCATTATCTTCTAGCACACTAATTCTTTGATTAAAAGGTTCTGGGTCAAGGTCTATTGATGCATCTATCGTTATACAGTCTCACTAATTTACATGCTTAACTGAATGAAGCTTTATTCAGTAATTCTTGTAGGCAACATTTGTTTCTTTTTCCATTTTGCTCAATTGAGGCTAGCTCTAAAGTTTTCAGTGATGCGATTTTTAAAATCTTTAGTGATATTCATTTTTCTGCTTTTAAGCGGGATGGTGTAACACTGATCAAACTTTTGTTATGATACTACATTTTTTACCTTGAATAGAGCATAATTATTAGCTGAATCTGCATATTTATGATTTACATTCTAACAATCCCTCTCTTGAATTACAGGGTGGTATGTCTAATGAATTATACAACACCATTGCCCGTGTCAGTGATGGAATTTATGAAGGTGGGAAATTTTACTCCTGCACCTGAAATGAATTTTGCTTAATGTTATTTTTCATGAGGTTGGAATTTATTCTAAGCTTAATTGTTATTTTTATAGGTGTTGCCATTGGAGGAGATGTGTTCCCTGGGTCAACGCTTTCTGATCATGTCCTGCGGTTTAACAATATCCCTCAGGTATATCAGTTTATTGGTGAAAATGGTTATTTCATTTGTATTGCTAATATCTTTGCTAGAGGGACCTTGGTCTTAAAGTTGCATATGCATTTTATTATGAAAAAGCATGATTAAATTAATGCTGGCATATCATGTTGTTTTGTTAATTACGTTTGTTTAACATTTTCATATTAAGAGTTCTCAAAGATTGACAGAATTTGTGAAACTATTCACTTGGTTTTTAGGAACATGCTTTCCACCCAACCGTTTTGTTCCATATTTTGTCTGTGGATGGCATGTAAGATGACACTAATGTTCTCTTAACTTTGACTTTCTTACTCAAACCAGGTCAAAATGATAGTTGTTCTCGGTGAACTTGGTGGACGTGATGAATATTCCCTAGTCGAGGCTCTCAAACAGGGGAAAATCAACAAACCTGTGGTTGCTTGGGTCAGTGGAACTTGTGCTAGGCTTTTCAAATCAGAAGTACAGTTTGGTCATGCGGTGAGCAAATACCACCTCTTGGTTATATCTATTATGATTTATAACGTAGGAAATATCTAAAACTTTGCTTTATTATATATATTTAGGGGGCAAAGAGTGGTGGTGAGATTGAGTCTGCACAGGCCAAGAATGAAGCACTTAGGGAAGCTGGAGCTGTCGTTCCCACTTCATATGAAGCATTTGAAGGTGCAATCAAAGAGACATTTCAGAAGTTGGTGAGTAAAATATACTTTTAAGCAACATTTCATTCCAATCACTGTTGAATATTTTACATTTTTCTTACGTTTAAGAATGTCAAGTACTTATTTGAAAGTATCTCTTATCTTTCCGTTAATATAAATAACTTATTTCCAATTTTGACTAACAAGTTTAAAATTTATATAGTTTTCAATCTGAGCGATGCTCTTGCTATTCATATGTTATGCTGTTCAAACCTACTTTGCTGAAATGCCTGGTTGCATTTTTTACAGGTTGAGGATGGAAAAATTCCACCAGTGAAGGAGATGACACCCCCTCAAATTCCCGAGGATCTTAATATAGCAATTAAGAGTGGAAAAGTTCGGGCTCCAACACATATTATTTCTACAATCTCTGATGATAGGGGTGAGTATGACCTTTTTCATGTGCTCGGTAACTTTTTATACAATGAATCGAAAAGAATTTGAACTGCTCATAATAACTCGCAATTCATTTTCCAGGTGAAGAGCCAGCTTATGCTGGCGTCCCAATGTCCTCCATTGTTGAACAGGGATTAGGTGCAGGTGATGTCATTTCCTTATTGTGGTTCAAACGAAGCCTTCCACGATATTGTACACGTTTTATCGAAGTGAGTTTCTTGTAATCTTGTATTTTTCCACTTCCTTTTGTTTTAACTTTCAAGGTTATGCATTTAAGAAGAGGGTTATATATCTAGCCAGTTATTTTATATTTTCAACTGTCTTTTCCAATTTTGCTTTTGAACTTATTCCCATTTTCTCATGACCAGATCTGCATCATGTTATGTGCTGACCATGGTCCCTGTGTCTCTGGTGCTCACAACACCATCGTTACTGCTCGGGCTGGAAAAGACCTAGTGTCAAGTCTTGTTTCAGGTGGGTTACTCATCACGTCTTTTAAATGGGATAGTTTATTATTGCTTATCGGAAAAGGAAATATATGGAATGCTTATGCTTTTGACGTATTTCGCGAAAAATAATGTCATTATGGGCTCTTTTCATGATATTGGAGTGACATGCTTTAGTTATTTATTTATTTTTTTTGTTGGAAACAGGATTATTAACAATTGGTCCCCGATTTGGTGGGGCTATTGATGATGCTGCTCGATACTTCAAGGATGCTTATGACAAGGTAAGCTGTCTTGATTCATGAGAATTACCAGAAAAAATGATGAATCCCTATTCTTTAGGTATTCTGATCCTTCTAAAATGGCATATCTCACGCTGCGTCATTTCAGAGTCTTACACCTTATGAATTTGTTGAAGGCATGAAAAAGAAGGGCATTCGTGTACCAGGTATTGGACACAGGTAATAAGAACCTTAACGATATACTGACCTCTTTCTTAGCCTATTTTTTTCTGGGCAATTATTTTTTCCTTTTTAGGGAAACATGATTTTTTCATGATATAGTAACTCTAATTCCTGGATGATCTTGTATTATTTTCGAGTTTTGTCTCTTCAAATCTCATTCTGAGTAAATTTCGTTTTCTCTTTAATAAAAGAATCAAGAGCGCTGACAACAGAGATAAGAGAGTAGAATTACTACAAAGATTTGCACGTTCCAATTTTCCCTCTGTCAAATACATGGAATACGCAGTTGAAGTTGAAACCTACACCCTTTCAAAAGCAAACAACTTAGTGCTTAACGTTGATGGTGCTATCGGTTCCCTATTCTTGGATCTCCTTGCTGGCAGCGGAATGTTCACCAAACAAGAAATCGATGAAATTGTCGAGATTGGTTACCTGAACGGGCTCTTTGTGCTGGCACGTTCCATTGGTCTCATTGGGTGAGTTTTAGATCAACTGTCGTCTATTATCGTCTTATAGACGTTCCCATGCCGACCCCATATGGCCTGGTACAGGACGTGTAGTATCCCAAGGCCTTGGCTTGCCCATTTTCACACCTCTATATCATCTTTTCCCATCTTTTTTCGAGTCCTATGTTTATCTTTCTTATTGATAATTAAGTTAATCTGCTCTTTTCAAATTCAGGCATACCTTCGACCAGAAGAGATTGAAGCAGCCACTTTACCGTCATCCATGGGAAGATGTTCTCTACACCAAGTAAAATTTTACTGATAAAAACACGGGTGATGCTACCGCCACCTGCCACATACCCGCTTTGAAATTCAGACTTTTTGTTTTTTCGTCAGTGGTTTACTAAGTAAATGTCTCGTGTACTTGAATTCCAAGTTTAGCATTAGTTCACCAAGAGGGAACACAATTTTATCATTTATAATCAAGAATTAGCCGCCACGAAAAGTTCTATGTTTGTAGCTTATGGAAGAAATAACATTTGCATTCTTGTACTGATTGAAAATCCTGATTCTGATAAAAGGGCTTTTCACCTCTCTTCTTGTATGACTCAGTGTCTCTTCTGGTCGAGTACATTGTTTTCTATTTTCTTGCTTCTGGTTCACCGATCGTGATTTTTATTGGGTAATTGGCACAAAATGTCTCTGCCTTTTAAGATTTTTGTGGAAAACGTCATTATCTTTTATTTTTTAGCATTTTTACTCTTACTTTCTATCTTTCATTGCGTAAAAGGTCATTTTTTACGATTTTACCCTCTTATTCAAATAAAGCAAAAGGAAAAAAAGAAAAAAAGAAGACTAGTTGCAACTATAGCCCCAAATTTTCAAAAAATTACAAATCAATCAGAAATAATTGCATCCTTTTATATTGAATATAAACAAAAATTTTATAACCATAATCTATTTTAAATAATCAACAAAATACATTTGCTCCAATCCATTAAAAGCGTAACATTACCCATCTCACTTCCCAAATAATACAACATCGAAATTTTCCTGCAAGCCTCGAGAATTGAATTCATTGAACAACCCATACATCTCATTTATGAAACTTGAGAAAAAAGTAGTTTGCTCAACGCAAGTAAACGACATGAAGTAGGAGCTATAGAAATAGTTTGTGAGGGCCTTCTGGAGTTCTTTGGTGGCTTGTAATTTTTTGAAGTTTTGGGACTATGGTTGCAATTAATTCTTTATTTTTTGCTTTATTTGAATATGAGGGTAAAATCGTCAGAACGGATGAAAATGACATTTTGCGCAATAAAAGGTGGAAGGTAGGGTGAAAATGTCAAAAAATGAAAGATATGGATTTTTTTTTATAAAAACCTTGAAAGGTAGGTACGTTTGTGCCAATTACCCATTTTTAAAGTTTCTTTTTTATTTTATTTTATTTTCTTCTTATAATTATTTTTTCACTCCCAAGGTTTAATTGTTAAGAAAGTTAGACAACTCTCTAGTGAAGAAAACGGAACACACTTGAAGAATGACCTAGTGTTCGCAAGTCTAGTGTAAACATAAAAGAAGCTTTCCTGCATAGTAGTTATGGTGAAACCAAACGAAGATGTTATTGCAAACATTGGTAGACATGTTCAAGTTAGCAAATATCAACTATCTTGTCCTTTTCACTTTGCTCCACACATCAAACCTACTATGTCCTGTTTGATTTCAAATCAACCGAGACATACTATCTTAATACCCATGTCAACTTACACACACGACTCACGAGCGCTCATAAACAAGAGATGTATGACTTGGTTGATTGAAGCATGTTTCAGGTCGACTCAAAGATTCATACGCCATTTTATTAGAGCAATACATATACATGTCAACAAGAGGTGGAGCTATTAAAACTAAAGGAGATTGAACCATTTTCTTGGTCCGCTGAAAGAGGCTCCCATTCATAAAAATGGCATGATTAATAGAACAGAAGGAGAAGTATATGAAAGTTAACTTAGCTAATCATATTTGTTAAGAATTTAATTACTTCACATCTATCAGCAGATTTAACAACCAAAAAACGTTGGGGGCGAAGAAGGATTTACTTGGTTCACTCTCCACTAAATGTAAGTTTTGTTTGTTCTTGTGTGTAAGGGTGTGCTCGTTCCATTATTGTACAAGTCTTGAAGCTATTTATTTATTTTATTAGAAAAATGATTAATAATCTATTCAACTTGTCATCTTGATAGACCAAATTGACGTTTTTAATATAATAGGATAGATGCATACAAAAGATTATGAATAAGAAAAAGTAATTAGTATAAAACGTGCATTATTGAATGCATGAATATTTGTATGTATAATGTGCATTTTGCACGTTTTATACTAATTAATTTGCTTATTAAGAGATCTTTTTAATATCTAAAGGTGAAATTGACTGTGAATAATTATGAAGATAAGCATTGGGAAAACAAAAAGAAATTAGGAAGATAGTATAATTAGACATATTATTTTGTATTCATATCTAATCGTGTTAATGAAAGTAGACTGTTATCTTGTACTCGAGTACATAAGTTGGCTTCGGGGGCACAACCTTGGCCTAGTTCTCGAGCAAAGTGACCCACAATACCACATCGATCGGGACTCTATCCTATGAGATGAATTTAAAAAGTTGATTTGGGCATAATATATCGCTTATAATTCTCGCCAAACTTCTATTCACTCCCCCTATAAATAGCATCTGTTACGTGTTGACACTTGGCCGACCCATTGGGCCGATGGTCCACCCCTTTCGAACCACGTTACATCTTATTCGAGGCCCCAAGCCATACGTGGCCCAAGTGCTGACAAAAGCTAATATGCCGAGGTGACCTTCTAGCCAAGGGCCATCACTCCAAGGCCCCATCTTATTCGAGGCCCTGAGATTCTGAGCGGCACTCCTCCCCATAGATTCGGTCTTACGCAAGGATCCTTCTTGATGAATTGATGGGACACTCATCATAGAGTGCAAGTGTCTTGTCTTGTCAATGTAGTGGCGGAGTCGCTGACTAATAAATGTGTAGTAGACTAGAAAGTCAAATGTGATACTTATAATTTAACATGTAAACTTACTAGATGAGCCCACGTGTATTCCCAACCAAGGACTACGATCTAAGTTGTAATACTATAAATATTCTCTCATGTATCTCTCACAAACGTAATGCAATATTCAACACAAGAACAAAATACAACATTCTTTACATTTTACTCTCTTGCAACATACATGAATTCATACTCGCATTCAACAAACATCGATTGGTAATTATTGTACAATTGTTAGACAAATATCTCGTTGAATTCCAAACGTTCTCGTCCTGCACCTTTGACTCGCTCCTACGCCCCCTTTTGATATTATTTCTAGACAGTCCACGTGTCTTAGCGTGTTGGACCAAGTTTACGTGTGCACGGGTGGGTCTGGTATTTGTTAGCAACATATTTTGGGGTCAACAGATTGACGCCGTCTGTGAAAAACCATACTATAACCACGAGCAACCGTGTGAAGAAAGCTTACCAAAAAGGAGATTCGGGCATCCCTCTTGAAAGAGGATTTGTTCTTGGAAAAGAACAAGTGGAAGCCCCATAACTTAGCAAAAATTTGAAGTTGGAATAGAAGAGAATGAATTCAGACGAGGATGTACCCCCTAGGAGGGTAAAAGAGAATGTGGGGATGCCCCCACCAGCAGCTGCCCCTGCAGCTCAGCATCGATCTCACCACCACCACAGAAGAGGTGGCATGCGGATGATTGCTCAGCTATCAAGAGAGATGGCCGCGAACATGAGGGACATTACTAACCAAAACATGGCCATGAGAGAACTCATGGTCCAAATGCAGAGCCAGGGAGGCTTCCCCATTCCTCCCTATATACCCCAAGAACATTATGACCAAGATGAAGTTCAAAGCCAAAGGGCTGTACTGCCAGAATATAGCCGAGACAGGAGCCCCATGGAGATGGAAGTAAAAGTTGATGCTTCCTACAATTATGCTACTGGCCGACCCACCGAGGCCCGACATAACCAAGTCAACTTTCCACTAGCATATGACCCAAAACAAAGACCTAGGAGGTCTAACAGCGTCTTTGACAGAATTAGCCCTGTAGAACCGAGGTACAGGCAACAGCAACAATAGCAACGCGAGCCTCGGAATAGACCACAGCCCCCACCTTTGATGTCTTATCAGCTAGAGGAAAGGCATAAGAATGCCCCCGTGCTATTTAGCCTAGAAATAGACGCCAAAGGAGGGAAGAGGAGGCTAGAACCCAGGCTGGACACCCTTTCATCAAATACCCATGTATGAAGTCGAGGAAAATAATGACTCAGATGAGTAGCAAAGGTCTTGTGACTTGGACGACGACAATGAAAATCTGCCATTCTCAAGGGAACTAAGAAGTGCCCAGGTTCCGAGCCACTATGTGATGCCCAAAATACTAAAGTATGACGGGAGAGGTGACTCGGAGAAACATCTAAGCGCTTATAAAACTCATATGAGCCTTAGAGGCGCCACCCCAACTGTGAAGTGTAGAGCTTTTCATTTGACATTTAGTGGAGCAGCTGAAATTTGGTATAGTTGACTGCCACCTGAGAGCATAAGGAGTTGGCCAGAATTCAAGAACACCTTCCTAAAAAGGTTTGTAGTGAGCAAAGAAGGAGAGGCCCCTATCCAGCACCTTCAAGACATGAGGCAAGCGCATGGGAAATCCCTAAAAAGCTTTTTATCATCCTACATACTTTGTGCAAGTCACCGATCGCGAGACTTTATCAGCCCTAAGAGGAGATTTGAATATGAATACCTTATTTTGGAGGGACGTGCAAAACCAAGATCCCACCACCTATGACGCCCTATTGGAAATGATGGGACGGGAGTTATCAATGATGAATTAATTGAACACCGAAATCGGGCTAGCAGAGGCCTCCCATCTCAACAGAGATAGCACGCTAGGAGACCGACCTCCCACTTGATGGACTACCAAATGAACCCACTTGGTAATGGAAATTTAGGGCAAGCACTTGCCACAACCACTTTGAACTCATTTCCAACTTTGGCATATGAAGATGTCAATCCAACTACTACTGACCCGCAAGTAGAAACTTCACAACAGGTCCCCCGTAGAGGAAGAGGCCGGGGCGTGATTCAGGACCTAGAAATAGGCCTAATCATAATCCCCCGATTATTGTACGTACCACCACTCCTACAGTCATGACACGTTCGAGTGTCGGGAGTATGCATACCGTAACCGGCGAGAACACTCCCAAGACAAGAGGAATGAGTCATCACAGATGAACAGGCCCCCGCCTATGAATGACCAGCGACCTAGGCACGAGGAGGCTGCTCCCTGCCAGTGAGATGTATCCCTCGGCCGAAGGGAACATGGCACGGAGAGACCCAGGAAGGACACATGCATCATGGGAATCACCATGCACGAGAAAAGGCCCCTATTCACAAGATAGATACCATATTTGGAGGCCTTTACGTTGGAGGGGAGACTTGAAACGCAAAACAGAACTATGCCCGAGAGGCTAAACGCCTCCCACTAACCAGTTATATCCTAGACAACACCTCCTGAAGGAACCAAGTACCGCACATCGTCTTCACCCAAGAGGACTTTGAAGGGGTTCACTACTCCTATTGTGATGCACTTTTGGTAAGGGTCGTTGTGGCCCGAAATGGACTCAAGCGAATGCTAGTAGACAATGGCAGCTCCGTTAACATCCTGTTCGGGTCCTCCTTTGATAATATGATCCTGGACCACGAGCTGACGCCCACCACCACTCCTCTATACGGATTTATCGGAGATAGTTTCACTTCGAGAGGAAAAATAATGTTGACGGTAGAAATGGGAGAATCCCCCAAACTACTATGAACTTCATGGAATTCTTCATTGTAGACAGTTGGTCAGCTTACCAAGGAGTCTTAGGTGGACCATCCCTGAAAGAGTTAGGGGTTGTCACTTCCATCCACCACTTATGCATGAAACTCCCAACCGGGAATGGGGTGATAACAGTGAGAGGTGACCAAAGATGATCCAGAGAATACTACTTGAGCTCTATTAGAAGGTTGAGCCTCGTGATGTACACACCATCCTGACTGATGTGGATATGGCAGACGTCCCAAGCGAGGCCCCTCCCGAACGAGAGGATTTGAGATGATCGACGCATCTCTCGAACAGGAAGAACTCTCCATGATCGATGAGATCGATCCCCGTGTAACTAAACATGAACTCCAAGCAACTCCGATTGAGGAAATAGAAAGCTTCTCGGTCGACCCTCGTGACCCCGTGAACGTGTTGTCCTGACTGATGTGGATATGGCAGACGTCCCAAGCGAGGCCCCTCCCGAACGAGAGGATTTGAGATGATCGACGCATCTCTCGATCAGGAAGAACTCTCCATGATCGATGAGATCGATCCCCGTGTAACTAAACATGAACTCCAAGCAACTCCGATTGAGGAAATAGAAAGCTTCTCGGTCGACCCTCGTGACCCCGTGAACGTGTTAAAAGTAGGTATAGGCCTGGATGACGACATGAAAGAAAAATTGAAAGACTTTCTCTACAAGAACCTTGACGTCTTTGCTTGGAGGCATGAAGACATGGTGGGCATAGACTCCAAGGTCAGCTGTCACCACCTAAAGATAGATCCTAAAGTTGCCCCGCATCGACAGAAGAGAAGAGCCCTCAACCCAGAAAGGTATGAGACTTTGAAAGAAGAAGTGCAGAAACTAATCAAGAAAGGCTTCATCAGAGAGGCCATCTACCCGAAATGGGTCTCCAACCCAGTGCTAGTCAAGAAGTACAACAGTAAATGGAGGGTATGTATCGACTTCATGAATCTCAACAAGGCATGCCTCAGAGACAGCTTCCCACTTTCGAGAATTAATCAATTGGTTGACTCCACCACGGGGCACGAGTTACTGAGTTTCATGGACACCTACTCGAGCTATAATCAAATACCTATGTACCCCAACCGATGAGGAGAATACCTCATTTATTACTGACAGAGGCCTTTCCTGCTACAAGATGATGTCCTTTGGGTTGAAAAACGCCAGGGCCACCTATCAAATGCTTGTCAACAAAATGTTTGTAGACCTCATCGGTAAGACAATGGAAGTCTACGTTGACAATATGCTTGTGAAAAGTTTGAAGGCGGACGACCATGTGATGCACCTGAATGACACTTTTCGAACCGTTAAAAGGTACCGAATGAAGCTCAATCCCCTCAAGTGCGCTTTTAGCGTTGCCTTCGGCAAATTCCTTGGGTACATGGTCAACCAAAGAGGAATCAAAGCTAATCTCGAAAAGATCAATACCTTGCTCGAGTTGAGATCACCCCAGAAACCCAAGGAAGTCGAAAACCTAACGGGACAAGTGGCAGCCCTCAACTGCTTTGTCTTCATGGCCACCAATAAATGCCTCATGTTCTTCAAAATATTGAAAGTCGGGAAGAAGTTCGAATGAAATGAGAAGTATAAAGAGGCCTTCTAGGGCCTGAAAAGGCATCTAAGGCAGGCCTCCCTCCTCTCCAAGCCAAAGCCCGGCAATATCCTTCAGTTATACCTGGTCGTCTCCAATGAGGCCATTAGTACAGTCCTAATACGAGAGGAAGAAACCACCCAACTCCTCGTGTATTATACTAGCAAGGCACTCCTGTCTCTAGAAACACGCTATCCCGGTATGGAGAAGCTAGCCTTAGCCTTGATCACTGCTTCTAGGAAGCTAAGGCCCTACTTCCAGGCACACACCATTCACGTGCTGACCAACTTCCCTTTGAGGCAAGTGCTACAGAAATCGAACGCCTCAGGAAGACTACTAAAATGGGCAGTGGAGTTAAGTAAATTTGACATTGTCTTTAAGACAAGGGCGGTCATCAAGGGCCAAACTTTACCTAATTTTGTGACAGAGTTCACCAATGTATCCGAGGTGGAAGAGGTTATGGAACCTATTGAGCCCCCCACGTGGAGCTTGTTCGTAGATGGTTCGGCTGAAAACACTGGTTCGAGAGCTGGGGTAGTTCTAGTCAGCCTAGAAGGTCACAAGTTAAACTCAGGCGTGAAGTTCAGATTTAAGGCCACCAACAACGCTGCTGAGTATCATGCGCTCTTTGCAGGCCTCAGATTAGCCAAAAAAATGCAAATAAAGAGGCTACGTATCAACAGTGACTCCCAGCTGGTGGTGAGCCAAGTGAATGGTAGTTTTTTAGCTAGGGATAAGACCATGGCCTCCTACTTGAAGATGGCGCTAAACTTCCTCCCATCTTTTGAAAAATACAAAATAATGCAAATCCTTTGCCTTGAGAACGCACATGCAGATGCACTCTCTAAACTCGCGAGCAGTAAAGACTCCGAACTATTTGCTATATTACCAATTGAGCATCTCCTCACGCCGTCTACCGAGGTCACTGAGGTAATATGGGTCGACGGAATCCCCACATGGATGCAACCAATCATAGCCTACCTAAAGGACCAGGTCCTGCCCACTGACAAAGATGAGGCCTACAAGTTGAGAAGAAGGTCAACTCATTTCCTCTTCATTGATGACGTACTCTACAAAAGAAGCTTCTCCTTCTCACTTCTTCGCTGCACAAGGGAAGATAAGACCATTTACATTCTGAGGGAAATCCACGAAGGTGTTTGTGGCAATCACTCAGGAGACTATCCTTGGCACAAAAAGTACTGAGGCAAGAGTACTACTGGCCCACCTCGAAAAAGGATGCACTTCAATTCATGCGTAAATGTGACAAGTGCCAACGGTTCTCTCCCATTCAGAGGTAACCTTCGCAGGAGCTAACTGCCATCTTCAATCTATGGCCGTTCTCCAAATGGGGCGTGGATCTGATAGGTCCTTTACCTAAAGGCAGAGGAGGCGTGAACTTTGCCATTGTGGCCATTGATTACTTCACGAAGTGGGTTGAGGTCGAACCGCTAGCAAAAATTACAGAAGCAAACACCTCCAAGTTCTTTTGGAAGAACATCATATGCCGATTCGGAATTTCCCACTCCATAGTTTCAGACAATGGAAGGCAGTTTGACAATAAAAAAGTCACAAACCTGTGCTAAGAACTTGGAACTAAGAAGCACTTCTTAACACCTCGTCATCCTCAAGCTAATGGCCAAGTTGAGGCTGTAAACAAGACGATCAAACATGTCTTCAAAAGGAGAATGGATGCATCAAAGGAAGCCTGGGTTGATGAGCTGGTTCAAGTGATTTGGGTAATTCGAACTACCACCAAAACTCCCACGGGGAAAACTCCTTTCCTCATGGCCTATGGAATCGAAGCCATGAGCCCAGTCGAGGTCGATTTACCATCACCGTGTCATCTACACTTCAGCGAAATATCTAATGACGAGCTACGAAAGTTCAACCTCGACTTCATTGATAAAAGAAGAGACGACTCCTAGCTGAGGCTCGTAGCTTACCAAAGGAAAATGACCAAATACTTCAATTCTAAGGTGAAGAAGAGGACTTTCCAATTTAATGACCTGGTCTTTAGGAGAGTCCTCCTCTCCTCCAAAGGACCTGGAGAAGGTACCATGGGTCCAAACTGGGAAGGCCCTTATAGAGTTAAAAAAAACTCTGACCCAGCACCTACAGAATTGAAGACATGGATGGCAAGGCACAGCCTCGTCCATGGAACATTGAGCATCTCAGAATTTACTACCAATGAATGCACTGCATCGCTAGAGGATCTTTCCTAGCTTATGTAACTGATTTTCAACTTCAATAAAATGTCATTAAATTCAGATACGACCCTCAAAGCGTGAAAGTCTCGAAGGAGAGGTCTAATCCCTAACTCTGGGGTCACCCCGCCCGAACTCCGAGGCTCATTCCACGTGCCTTCCTTTAGCGAGACTGAACGTCAAAGGCAGAAGCCTCTACATGGTTGCACCATCTGCCATGCAAGAAAGCATGAAAGCTTTGGAGGAGAGGTCCTGATCCCCAAATCTGGGGTCACCTCGCCCGAACTCCGAGGCTCACTCCACATGCCTTCTTTTGACGAGGCTGAACGCCAAAGGGAGAACCCTCTGTATGGCTACACCATCCACCATGTAGGGAAGCGTGGAAGCCTCGGAGGAGAGGTTCTGATCCCCAACTCTGGGGTCATCTCGCCTGAACTCCAAAACTCACTCCACATGCCTCAACATGCCCATGTCATCCATCATCATTTTACCTCCTTAATTCGAACTCAATGGAAAGATTCAATCAAATAACCTAAGTGTAATTTGGACATCGTGGTTTATCTCAAAGTGATGAAACCTAAGTGCAACCTATTAAGTCATCATTTATATGGCTTGATTATTAGCTCATCCTGAAGTGAGATGTCAAATTCAAATATCTAACTCAAACTTATGCTTGATTATTTACCGAGGCTCATGCGCTTGATATTAAAAAGAAAATAAAATTTTGCAAAAAAAATGGCATTCATTGATATTGAATAGATTACAAGAGGTGGGCTCAAGGCCAATACATTGGTATAAACTAAAAAGGAATCCTAAACTAAGCTTTGGATGATGGAGGGAGCGCCTCTGCAGCAGGAGCTTCAGCAGCTTGAGCTTCAGACCCTTCTTCAATCCTTTCTGCTGCTTCTTTCCCAACTGTTTCCTCAGCTGGGGTCTAAGGTACCTCATCCACAAACTTGAACCTAAGTTGAGACAGGTCGTAGCCTAGGTAAAGTTCTTCAGCCCTCTCCATTACCTCAGTGTAGCCGAAGGTCCTCTAGTATGCGCTGAAGCTCCGGTACTCCTCGTTGTTGTGAAAATTGGCAATGAACTCTTCAACTGCCTCTTCCCCTACCACCTTGGCTGCCTCCCTCACCTTCGCCAGTTCATCAAGATGCCATTTTATTTGGTTATTCAAGAAGTTATATGCATCCTTGGCCCTAGCAAGCTGAATGTTTACTTTTTTCTAGGGCCGCAGCAGTGACCTTCTGAGGATTATTTGATGTTTCCACCTTTTTAGTGAGGGAGGCTACCTTACACTGAGATTCATATGCCTCTTTCTTCAAGGCCTCTATTTGGGCCAAGGCAGATTCCAATTTGGCAGCGTCTTCAACTTTTTGGGCCTTTGTTTCCTCTGCCTCGACCCTCAACCTCTTCAACTCTTCCTCAGCAGAGGCCAGCTTCTTTTCTGAGGACATGGTCCTCATTTGGAAGTTAGTGAGGACCTCCATATACTCCAATGTGAGGCCAAATGTCCTCACGCTTTGGCTCACCAGGGCCCTTGAGAGGTCGACTGCGTCGCAGGACGAGGCATGCAGCACCCACCTATCAGTCCAACATTTAAAAAACTGGCTGCAGCACCTCGGACCTCTTCAGGAAGAGCCTCCAACAATGCTGGGGTAAGTTCTTCGTCACGCCCAGCCAAGAAGTTAGGGAATTTTCCCTGGGACCTTACGAGCTTCTGCTGCGCAGCCTCCTCTTCTACCTTTAATGCAGCCAACCTCATTGCCTCCTCCGCCGTCTCCTCAGCCTCGGCCTTCCAGACCATTTCCACCTTCAAGGCAGAGTCCATGAGCTTCGATGGTCGGGAGTCCTTGCTGGTTTGGGAAATTGAAGTCCCAAACTTCCCCGAAGAACTGGTGAAGTGGACCTGCTTCTTCTTCTTCTGGGAGTACTCAGGGACTTTTTCTTTTTCCCCAAGGCTCTCTGTCTTTCACCCTCTTTGGAGCCTCTTCCTCGGTAGCCTGGGAGGTATTAATCTTGGAGAGGCACTCCACCTTGCCTCTTACCTCTTTTGCCCCGCTTGACCCAAGTTTCAGAGGATGGGCCCCAACAGTAGTAGTGGCCTTCATTATGGTGGCCATGTCAAGGGCGGGGTATTCCCTCCTCCTGAACTTATCTGCAACACAAAGGAACAACGGATCAGAGGTTGACATCAATTAGCAAATTTTTCCACCACAAAGTACAGGTACTTCTTACCTTTGGAAGCCATCAGTCTGAAGTCAAGGAAATAACGACTTCGGTTGATGAGATGATTGAAGTGGCGAAGATTCATAGGACGCTTGTAAATGTCCTTTATGACGTCAAACTCCACTTTGTGGAGCTGGTACCTCGTACTCGAGTCTACAAAACATGCGACAACAGTTAGCAAAAAATTCCAGAAAGCTCCACAAAATGTAAAGTACAGCTTAGGCTGGGGAACTCATGAGTTTCGTAGTACTGGGTCGGTACCGTGCAATCCTACCACAAAAGGGGCGTGCGACCCCTAGGGAGTAATATAATACCACCCCTTCGACTCATCTTTGCCCAAGACTTTGGGTTGAAAGACATGGAAAGGCATATCCTCCCCCATCGACACTTCCTTCCATAGAAAGTAAGACCCCACCAACTGGCTCCGCCCATTTGACAAAAACTGGGTCAACGACAACATAAAATTCCTTAACACTGCCCTAAAAAAGGGATACAGAGGAAGACGCATACCCGTCTTAAACAAGTATTTACTAACTACGACACATCCGGGCCTTGGATAACAAGCCCGTTCATCAGCCTTAGGAACTAACATTTCTATGTTACGAGGCACGCAGTACCTCTTCCTTATCTTCCCCAACCTCTTCTGGGTCATATTTGAGGGTATCCTAGACGCACCCCATTCCTCCTCGTAATTTACGAGCTCCTCGGTCATAGCATAATGTTTGACCTCCGAGTCCCCCTACGAACTTCCCCTCCCCAAACGATGCGATAGTTACTGTCCCCTACCCAAAGTGGACTCCATATCAGAATAAGTTTGGAAAATGGACAAAGATCGCAAAACAAGTCATTCTCACTAGAAATACCTACACAATCGACTAAGGAAACTGAAGGATGCTGAAAAACGGGAACAGAACAAAACTTCAACGCCAAAAAATAATATTTTCAAAAAATAAAAAGAATTGCAGAGATAGAAAGGTAAAAAATGGGAGTCTCATGCCTTTTATACAAGTCCTGGACAAACACCAGCCATCAGATCAATGCTCATCAAATTTGAGCCCTTCATTGCAGACCAAATTCGAGGCGTAAAATTCAAACCGTTTTCAAAATCAACGCCTCCGATTCAAACGTGCTCCCCACGCACCTCTCCAAACGCGTCTCCTTCTAGAAGCCCTAGCCGTAGCCATCATTGCACATTCAATGCAGCAGTCGTACGTGCCTTGGAAGTTGAAATGACTCGACTGTCTTTTCTTGGTAACATGCACAAAATATCAAATCATTGACACAAACATCGAAAACAATCATCTCTTCGCAAGCCTCGGCAGGTTCGATCCACTCACCGCCTCGACTTCTTCGTCTGCTTCTTCGCATTTTAGCCACATCTTTGCAAGCCTCGGCAGGTTCGATCCACTTACCACCTCGGTTTCTTCGCATTTCAACCACATCTTCACAAGCCTCGTCAGGTTCGATCCACTCACTGCCTCGGCTTCTTCATCTGCTTCTTCGCATTAAGCCACATCTTCGCAAGCCTCGGCAGGTTCGAGACTTCTTCGTCACCTTCTCCAATCACAGCAACACCACCACTTTCAACTCCAACCATGATATATCTATACTTGGACTTGGGAACTATTAGTTGAGGTACAAAAAATTCTCAATTTCTACCCCAGGCACTTCACTGCAATAAAAGTCCACGCATTACATAAATGACCATAATTGGACTTGAAGGACTATTGTTACGTGTTGACACTTGGCCGACCCACTGGGCCCATGGCCCATCCCTTTCGAACCACGTGGCATCTTATCCAAGGCCCCGGGCCAGACGTGACCCAAGCGCTGACGCCGAAACTAATATGCCGAGGTGACCTTCTAGCCGATGCCCATCACTCCGAGGCCCCATCTTATCCGAGGCCCTGAGGCTCTAAGCAGCACTCTTCCTCAAAGATTCAGTCTTACACAAGGATCCTTCCTGATGGATTGATGGAACATCCTTCATAAAGTTCAAGTGTCTTATCTTGTCTTGTCAATGTAGTGGTGGAGCTGCCGACTAATAAATGTGTAGCAGGCTAGAAAGTCAAATGTGATACCTATAATTTGACATATAAACTTACTAGAAAGACATGTTTATTTATTTAAATTTGGTTTTCAATAAAAACTACATTCAAATTGTTATATATTTTGACCGATAAGGATGATTATGATTCAATAAAAGTAAAAAGGATGATAAATTTACTCAAGTACTCTCTATCGTAAGTATGCAAAATTTATATCTATATCCTAATTTATATTATTAGAATATTGAAAACTTAATTTTAATTACTTTAAAAGCTTCTTTTTATCAAAACTAAAAAGATCCAAGCACTAAATTAATAAATTAAAAACAAAAATGTTATGATATTATATTTCCAAGTTATTTTTAAATATTTGACTATCTTTTCTTTTACTCCGTGTATAATTACTTACAACCGAAGCTAATTGGGCAAAAACAACTCCTCAGA